CTGTTGATGGTCTTGCTTCCTAGTTACTGAGAAAATTTGAGCCATCACAGAATTTACATAATTCACCTATCACAACCCAGCTAACCAGCACCTAGCACTCAAATCCTCTGCCTTCCTCCTGTTCCTGCAGATGAAGTCCAGGTGCCAAGGCCAGCCTTTTTGCTTGCGTGTGCCCTGGATCCTAACCTCTATCACCTATTCAGGAACCATGTTCTGGCCAGCCTTTCTTTTCTGTCCTGCTTTTTTTTCACTGGATGGTTCCCACCAACAAATAAATAGTTGAGCCATACCCGGTTTGGCTTAGTGGATGGAGCGTTGGCCTTCAGACTGAAGGGTCCCGGGTTTGATTCTGGTCAAGGGCACATGCCCGGGTTGCGGGCTCCATCCCCAGTGGGGGACATGCAGGAGGCGGCCAATCGTTGATTCTCTCTCATCATTGATGTTTCTATCCCTCTCTCCCTCTTCCTTCCTCTCTAAATCAATAAAACTATATTTCATGAATAAATAGTTGATCATCTCTCCCATCTTAAAAACTTGCTCTTTACTTCAGCTCCCTTTCCAACTACTGCTCATTTCTCTCCTTCCCTTTACAACAAAACTCTGAAAGTTCTGTTTATATTTACTGTTTCAAATTTCTCTCCCCCATTATTTTTTATATATAATACACATATCATAAAAGCCATAATTTAAAATATATATATATATAATTGATTTTTTACAGAGAGGAAGAGAGAGGGATAGAGAGTTAGAAACATCGATGAGAGAGAAACATTGATCAGCTGCCTCTTGCACGCTCCCCACTGGGGATATGTCTGCAACCAAAGTACATGCCCTTGACCAGAATCGAACCTGGGACCTTTCAGTCCGCAGGCTGACGCTCTATCCACTGAGCCAAACCGGTTTCGGCAAAAGCCATAATTTTAAAATATACAATTCAGTGGGTTTTGTTTTTATTTTTTAAATATATTTTATTGGTTTTAGAGAGGAAAGGAAAGATATAGAAACATCAATGACGAGAATCACTAATTGGCTGCCTCCTCCACGCCCCACACTGGGAATCGTGCCCTCAACCAGGGCATGTGCCCTGACGGGGAATGGAACCAGGACCTTCTGATTCATAGGTCGATGACACTCAATAGCTGAGCTATGCTGGCCAGACCAATTCAGTGGCTTTTAGAATGTGAAAATACTGCTATTTCGAAACACTTTTACTATATCCATTAGCAGTGACTTTCCATCTCCTTCTCCCTCAGCCTTAGGCAACCAATATTTCTCTTTCTATGAGTTTGCATATTTCATGTAAATGGAATCATACTTTATGTCATTTGTTTTTGGCTTTTTCACATAGCATAATCTTTTCAGGGTTTCTTCATGTTGCAGCATATGCCAGTACTTCATTCCCTTTTATGGCTAAAAAATATTCCACTGTGTGGGCATATTTTGTTTGTCCATTATCAGCTGATGGATGCTGGGGTTGCTTATACTTTTTGGAAGTAGTGAATACTATAAATACAGTGTGCTTAAATTCTTGCAATCCTTTCCTGCTTTGGTGTTTTCAATACAGCAGCCAAAGGGATCCTTTTGTTGTAAAATATTGTCAGGTTATATCACTCTTCTGCTCAAAACATTGCAGTGGTTCCTACTAGTATATCATCCTATATCCTATATAATAAAGAGGTAATATGCAAATTGACCATCACTCCAACACACAAGATGGCCAGACCCATGTGGTCAAAGATGACCACCCCCATGTGGACACAAGATGGCCACCACAAGATGGCCTGCAGGGGAGGGAAGATGGGGGGATCAGGCCTGCAGGTGAGGGCAGTTGTAAGTGACCAGGCCTGCATGGGAGGGCAGTTGGGCAGGGACCAAGCCTGCAGGGGAGGAGAGTTGGGGGCAGCTGGGCATGCAGGGGAGGGCAGTTGGGGACAACCAGGCCTGCAATGGAGGGCATTTGGAGGTGACCAGGCCTGCAAGAGAGGGCAGGGGGGAACCAGTCCAGCAGGGGAATGCAGTTCAGGGTGACCAGGCCAGTAGGGGAGGGCAGTTCGGGGTGACCAGGCTGGCAGGGGAGGGCAGTTAGGGGTAATGGAGCCAGCAAGGCAGGGTAGTTAGGGGCAACCAGGCTGGCAAGGGAGGGAAGTTAGGGGTGACCAGGCTAATAGGAGAGGCCAGTTGGGGGCAACCAGGCCTGCAAGGGAGGGCAATTGGGGGCAAACAGGCCTGCAGGAGAGGACAGTTAGGAGTGATCAGGCTGGTAGGGGAGGGCAGTTAGGGGCAACGAGGCTGGCAGGCAGCCTACATCCCTTAGCATCGCTTCTTTCACCAGCAGAGCAGACTCCCCATGGCTGTAAGAATCATGGGGGCAAGGGGTGTGTTCACTACCAGTCTTAGTGCCAACTCAATGAATGTTTAGATATCCAGGTCTAAGCTGTCTCCATTCTGTCTATTTCCAGAGAAATCAAAGCCTGTGTCTGAAGTGAGCAAAAAAGGAACTGAATGCTAACTTTTCTGTTGTTTACACCATAAAGAACATGAAACTGTGAGTTATGAGGAAGTGGTCTTCACCCTCTTCCCTCCTGACACAAGAAAGAGAAAAAGGAAGCAAGCAAGAGGAAGGTGGCAATGTGGAAAAGGAAGGCAAGATGGACTTTAAAAACTATTTAGCAGGAGGGAGGGCCTTCCTGTAGTCTTACCAGTTGTTCTGGTTTAGAGATTTTCTCAGCAACACGTGGCAATTTAGGGGCAGGAACTCCCACACCACTGCCTTTCTCACATGGTGCACTGTGCTCTGGTTATTTCTAGCTGTCTCTTGCCACCACTGGGCCATGGTTCAAGGATAAGGAATTGAGTCCTTGACCCCCCAGGGTCTGGCACTGTCAGTGATTAGTAAATATTTGCTAAATGAGTAAATAAATGAGAAAAATTTACAGGGGGTGGGGAGTGTGGTTTACTGAGTTGGACTGGCAAGGCAAGAAGAACAAAAGAGGGAGGTGCTGACATGAAAACAGCCTTAAGAGGGCTGGCAACAGGCCCTAGGCTGGGTAAGCAGACAAGTGGTGCCAACTTACGAATGATGGGTTTCAGAGCATCGCTTCTCCTAGGACCAGCTCCTCTAACTTCAGCTGCCAAGAGGGTCTGCATTTCACTAATGACCTCATACTTCCAAATGCAATGGACACCAGATTTCTTATCTTCCTTAGCCTCTCTGTGGCATGAGACATTGCCAGCCATTCTCCTTAAAATTTTCCCTTCCCTTCTTTTAGTACGCTCTCCTCCAGGTGAGGACCATTCTCTTTGTTATCTTTGATGGCTCTTTCTATTAATCTCACTTTTATTAATTTTCCCATTGATTTTTTAGAGGGAGGGAGGGAGGGGTTAGAGACAGAGAGAGAGAAACATCGATGTGAGAGAGACACATTGATTGGTTGCCTCCCATATCTACTTGGTCTGGGCCTGGAATTGAGCCTGCAACCAAAGGTGTGCCCTTGACCAGAATCAAACCTGGGACCCTTCACTCTGTGGGCCAATGCTCTATCCACTGAGCCAAACTGGTTAGGGCTTGATTGCTCTTCTTCTTTTTATTGCTTTTTTAAAATATATTTTTATTAATTTCAAAGAGGAACAGAGAGAGAGAGAGAAACATCAGTGATGAGAATCATTGGTTGGTTGCCTCCTGCACACCCCCTACTGGGGATTGAGCCCACAACCAGGGTATGTGCCCTTGATCAGAATCAAACCTGGGACCATTCAGTCTACAGGCCAATGCTCTATCCACTGAGCCAAACCGGCTAGGGGTTGATGGCTCTTTTTTACTTACCTTTTGGGATACTGATTTCTAAAAGCTGAGGAAAACACAAAGCAGTGACTTATTGAGTAAAGATAAACTGACATCATGTTAGGAGGAACTAGCAGGATGAAAATTAAGCAACAGTTCAAGGATGTTGTCCAAACATTTTGGTTCTTATGGAACAAGAGGGAACCATGATTTGATCTTGGTGGGTAAAATAAAGGCAGAGGTTAGTGAAGGTAGAAATGAATATCATTCCTCCCCTTTCAGAATTTGCAAAAGGTTAACCCAGTATCAAATTTAATTTTTAAAAACTAATAGCTATTTAGTAAAGTGAATAAACACACTTAGCTTCATACTTGAGTGATGTTGATATTTATTGACACCAATGCAAAACAAGCTAAGACTGAACGTTGTTATTTAAACAGGAACAAATATTGGTGCAGTTTCCTTCCTGGACAGGTCATGCACTCAGATCATGAGACCTAAGATAAAACAAAGACTGGATTGTCAAGAACCAAACAAGGGTTAAATTTTACTTATTAATATAAAAATTGCTAGAGGCCAAAGGATATGTTTAAAAATATTCTTTCCACTAATATCACATAAGCAAACAAAAATCTAAAACTAACCTTAAATTTTAGGACACAGGATATAGACATGAATGATTATCTAAATTTTGCATAAGCAAACACTTGTTATAAACGTCACTGTACTTGTAGTACAATTACATACTTGTTGCTTCTACGGTGCACAAAGTCAACACTTATCACCAACAATGAATGTAACTAGATCTGCACAAGACTTCAAAAAGACTCTGCTCCATTAAATTAAGAAAATTCAACTCAGAATTAACAAAATCTTTTGATTTTAAAGCTGGCTCTCTCCTTCTCATGTCATACCTAATTAAGACCTCACTTGACATTTCCTACCTGCAAATTGCAATGCATGTCCTCTCTCTGATCTTTGTCTGACACTTTAATTTGTAGGAATTGCAAAAAAAAAAAAATGGAATCGTACTTCCAGTCTGTACCCACAATCAGGTTCCTGCTTTGACGCAAAATACACTTCTCTGCAGTGTATCCTACCAGCACAGCGACCCCCTTTCTCTCTCTATTCCTTTGCCCGGAGGCACTTCTGGATTGCTTAATACATGCTCTCTGGCTGCCTACACAGTCAGGAGGACATGTATGGCCATTTGGACTTATCACTCCTCTCCTCCTTCTTTTCTATGGCTAATACCACTTTCCTGTTTTTTTTCTACTGCTGAATCTCCAGACTTGGTGCTGTCATCAGGGGGACAGAGTCGATTTCGGCTTCGAGCACCTGGTTGGTAAAGCTGCATTGCTGGACGATCCTAAAGTAAAATAAAATGTTAAAACGTTGCTACTCAGTTTACAGGGGATTTTCAATAATAGGTTATGTATTGATATATACCAATACCAACTCATACAAGAGAAAAATGTGAGGGCACTATACATGACAGTAAGTATTGGTGGTTAATTTGCCTGCTTTCTTTCCCCTATCTCCAAAGAAAAGCAACCACTTTATAAGTATTATTTATATGCCTAGGGTAAATTTTTGATAAAGCTATTATCAAATTTTCTTCTTTTTTTTAATACATTTTATTGATTTCTTACAGAGAGGAAGGGAGAGGGATAGAGAGCTAGAAACATCGATTAGCTGCCTCCTGCACGCCCCCCACTGGGGATGTGCCCACAACCAATGTACATGCCCTTGACCGGAATCGAATCTGGGACCCTTCAGTCCGCAGGCCGATGCTCTATCCACTGAGTCAAACTGGTTTCGGCGCTATTATCTAATTTTCTTAACGATTTCAAGAGGAACTGAATTAGCTAGATTTTTTAAATTTATTTTGATAATCCACAGCCATAGCCTACCTATTCCCTATAGGTAAATTGACTTTTTTTAAAAAATATATTTTATTGATTTTGTACAGAGAGGAAAGGAGAGAGATAGAAACATCAATGAGAGAGAGTCATCGATCAGCTGACTCTTGTACACTCCCTACTGGGGATATGCCCGCAACCAAGGTACATGCCCTTGACCGGAATTGAACCCGGGACCTTTCAGTCCCCAAGCCAACGCTCTATCCATTGAGCCAAACCGGTTTCGGCTGACTTTTATTTTTAAAATAATTTTATTAATTTCAGAGAGGGAGAGATAGAAACATCAGTGATGAGAGAGAATTATTGATTGGCTGCCCCTTACACACCCCACACTGGGGATCAAGTCCACAATTCGGGCATGTGCCCTGACTGGGAATCGAACCTCCTAGTTCATAGGTCGATGATCAACCACTAAGCCTTACACTATTGATTAGTTGTTTTTCCAACTTTTTATCTTGAAAAATGTTAAATCTATAGAAATGTTGTAAAACTTAAACAATGAATACTAATACCTTTCTTCTAGATTTACAATTTTAACATTTTGTCACATGTGCTTTTTCTGTCTCTAGTATGTGAACTATATACACATTGAGCAAGGATATCCTTTTACACAATACAACTGCTATTGATCAATCAAAGCATCACACTAAAAGGACACCCGGACATTATATGCTTCCTGATATGATGCATAGGAAGTACACAACACTATTTATGAAGTGTTCCGCCAAAAATTGCAGTCTCATATATTCAGGCCTCTAAGTGAGGGCATGCTTGTTTTTGTGAATAAAATGCGATTGGCACATAGCCACACTCATTCTTTTACATATGTCTATGCTTAAGAGCTTACTGGTTGTGACAGAGACCATATGGCCCATAAATCTAAAAATATTTATAATCTGGTCCTTTACAGAAAACATTTGCTGACCCCTGCCCTAGATATGACCATCAGCTTTCAAGGAAACAAACATTAAGGAACATGTTAAGTGATACCACAGGAATGTAATTAGCCCATCTGGACCGTTAGAAGCTCTACAGAACAAACTGGTTTCTGCAACAAATAAATGGAAAATAAAAGGAGGGGATTGTTTAGATTGGAAGAGATTTAAGGGGCGATATCGAGCAAATACAATTTGTGGATCTTGTTTGGAGCCTATAAAAAAGATATAAATGAGACGATTGGGAAAATCTGAAAACTGAGCAGGTATGATGTTAAGGAATTATTATTAGTTTTTTTTTTATGTGAAAAGGCTATTTGGATTATAGTTATTAAGAAAAAGACTTGATCTCTAATATTGATGAATGTAAAGAAGAAATTATACATCTTGGGTTTGCTGGAAAATAATCCAGTAGAATGGGTAGGGATGGGGTGAAGGGGAAAGGAAGTTGGCCTCTAGGTGATAATTATTAAAGCTGAGTGATGGGTACATTGTATTATTCTGTTCTACTTTTGTGTATGTTTGAAATTTCTACAGTAAGTTAATAAAAGGACCCAAACGCCGAAACTGGTTTGGCTCAGGACTGAAAGGTCCCAGGTTCGATTCCGGCAAGGGCATGTACATTGGTTGCAGGCACATCCCCGGTAGGGGGTGTGCAAGAGGCAGCTGGTCGATGTTTCTCTCTCATCTATGTTTCTAGCTCTCTATCTCTCTCCCTTCCTCTCTGTAAGAAAATCAATAAAATATATTTTAAAAATAAATAAATAAAATAAATAAATAACAGGACCCAAACAATACTCAAAAAAGCTGCAGAGTTAAAGTTCCTGTAATAAAATTGTCTATAATAGAATTTCCTTTAAAAGTTCTATAATAAACAATGAGCTAGCCCTTTTAGGAAAAGAAAAAATAAGTGTAACAAAAAGCAGCACCTTGTTTCTAATGCGATCTCTCTTAACCACTTCCTCTTTCTTTTCTGTTTTTTCTAAGCTGGCTAGTGATTCTGTACTTTCAGTCTTCTTTCCTTTATCCCGAAGTGCTTCTTTCTCTTTTTTAATTTCTTCTTCCTTTCTTTTAAAAGCCTTCTCTTTCTCATAGCGCTCCCTCTGCTTCCGGCGCTCTTCTTCTTGACGCTTTAGCCTCTCTCTTTCCCGAAGGATGCGCTCTTGATCGCGTTCATAATCCCGTTCCCTCTCCCGATAGTCTCTGCCACTCTCATCTTCAGGTCTGCATGAAAAGACAAATCTGAGAATGTACCCACAAAGATCTTCTGATCACAAATGCAGGAATACTCTGATTCTAACTTGGCCACTGCAATGAGGCTGCACTTTTGGAGCAGAGTAAAAAAAATACGAGCATTTAAAAAAAAAATAATAGCCCTAGCTGGTTTGGCTCAGTGGATAGAGCATCCACCCATGGACTGAAGGGTCCAGGGTTCGATTCCAGTCAAGGGCATGTATCTAGGTTGCAGGGTCCATCCAGGGTCTTGTTGGGGCACACGCACTTGCACGAGGCAACCAATCAATGTATTTCTCTCACATCGATGTTTCCCTCTCCCTCCCTTCCACTCTTTCTAAAAATCAATGGAAAAATACCCTTGGGTGAGGATTAACAAAAAAAGAAAAACAGTAACAAAAAAACAAAAGTCATCCACCCAGATCAAGGTATTAGAATATTTAAAAAATATTCCCTGTTAAAACAGCTTATTTCATCCCTTTGTCCCTGTTAAAACAGCTTATTTAATTCAGGTATAATTCAAGGATATACCAGTAAAACTAGTGTCTAGAAATACGTTGAAAACAAGTGTACTAAAGAGCCCTCATCTACTGACCTCTTAGGCTTTTCATCTTTAAATTCGGCATCACAACGTTTGGGCAATGTACAACTTTGCCCACTGGCTCTTTCATCACTCAGATTCTCTTTGTCCAATTTCTTGGCTTTCTCTCTTTTGTCCAATTCTTTTTCATCTCCCTTTTCTGGCTTCTTGAGCAGCTTTAAAAAAAAGAACAAATTTATTTTGAAGGGTGGGGCACTGTCTTCTAAGCCTATCAAGGAAAACAATACACTAAATATTTTAAATTTCGACTACAAAAGGCCCCTTTTTCTGCAGGTACTTAAACTTTTAGGTGAACAATAGTGTATAAGAGCAGTGATGTACTAAAAGGTTGCTATTAATATGAAAGTGTTACTCACTCAAATGAAGCGGTTTAATCACTTGTGGCAATAGGATCAAGACTCCTTTGGCTTTAAATGGGTCAAGCTTTAAGTGAATCAATACACACTTCCAAGTATGCCTTTTATAGCAAAGCAGCATGTCAATACAACTTGATGGGAAAATATGCCACAAATTCAAAATGCTAGGTAGATCATTACCATTGGGAGTATTTTTATGTATTATTTAGAATGACAAATATCTTGGTCACCAAAGGAGCGATCTATTGTGAGAATAATTTTGCCTTGAGCCTGAGAGTAACTTACTTACATGATGGTACAGTCATATTATCATTAGAGATGAATAGTGAGAATTGTTTAGCATTGGATTTAAAAATCCAAATACCTCATACAACACACTGTGAAGTTCCATCTCTACTAAGTAGGAACTCTATACAATGTCATATGTGTATGAGAGGATGTAGTTCTAAAATAAAAGTGGTTCATACAGACCAAATTTCTAATAAATTTTTCTTTTTCATACCATTGCTACAAATCTCTAGAATACCCTCAAAGTGTTGGATATTCAGAGAGACTCTTAGGCAAAATAGAAGACTTTCAAGTCTCAGGGTAAAGGCATCATACAGGTTACCAAGCAAAAGGCCAAGCACCAAAAATTTAAGCATGAAGTATTTCAGCACACAGTCAGCCACAGCAAATGGTGAGTCCAAACTGGACTCTAAGAAGGCATTAGTTAAAGTGAGGATACCATGTACAGGTTTCATTGGAGGTGTTCTTATTTCTCTAATGAACATCTTTGTTAGGAAGCCAAGATGTTCATTACTCTAATAAGAACATTAATGGGTGTCCCTAGCATGGATGGCTCCACCTTCTGCCTTGCTGATAGTAATAGCAAGTCAAGTCACTTGTGGTATGGCAGACATTGCTACAGAGAATTAAGATGGGAACTTTCCCACACCGTGGCCAAGCCCCTTATCAACAACAATGAGCCCTGGAGAGCCTCAGAGAACCACATAAACTGCCACCTCCACAGACTGTGAGATTTTTTTCTGACTTTCTCTGAAGTACTAGTACTTCCCCAAGAAGGTCATTGGAGCAAGAGCTGTCCAAACCATGCCCTGAGAAGGGAAGCTGCAAGGCCAGGATCTTTCTACAGGTTTTCCTCTTCCTTTATGTAATGTGTTAATCAGAATGAGCTGCTCATAGATTCCCAGGGAGATGCAAGAAGTTAACACGGGAATCATGTGAGAGGGGGAAGCATGTAATGCGGGATATTATCTGTAGTACTTGCACAAGGCAGTTATGAGAGGCAGCTAAAAAAGAGCTATTTAGGCATGGTTGTCCTCTGGCTATGTATTATTGAAGCTTCTGGGGACAGAGCAGAGCATCAGGAAGTCATATGGGCTCCCTTTTAAAGTAGGAATTTAAAATAGCTTGCTTTTAAGAAGACTAGTCGGTCTGAAGGGGTCTTCTACAGGTATCACTACCACCACCACCAAAAGGATTTATTAGCTAAGACCTGTGTGTGTGACATGATACTAGGTGTTCTGTATCATGTACTTAGTCCTTACATTTTTCTGATTCACAGCTTGTAACAGAAACCTGTGTACCTGAAGACAGTGGAAAACAAACAGATGAGGCAACTTCATGTATCAAATATGAAGGAAAAGCTGAACAAAAACCATAATTCATGCCAGCCAGCCCTACTTTATGAAGAATTAACAGAATAATCATCCAAAAATGGAACGTTCTAAATGCTAAAAACAATACAGACCTGCCCTGAAGAAATAGCATGTAAACTACTTAGTCCTTTTAAATTATCTTAAAATTTAAAAAGCATACTATTAGTATTATATAAAGATTTTAATTGGTTCACTTGCCCCTCCCCCCAACCAAAAAGAACAAAAACAAAATTGAACAACTGTATTTACACCACACAAGATACATGCATATTTATAAAGAAGTAGATACATGCAATTTTCAGCAACATGCAGTCAGTTTAAGTTATTTTCATACCTTAATCTTTGGTTCTTCCTTTAATTTGTCCCTTTCTGGAACTCTTTCTATTTTCTTTAGTTTTTCTATATCTTTCCTTTTTCGTTTCTCCTCTTCTTTCCACTTTCTCCTCTCTTCTTCTCTTTGTCTTTTTCTTTCTATTTCTCGCCGCCTTCTTTCTTCTCTTTTCTCTTCTCTCATTCTCTAGAAAGAAAGATCAACACACACCTTCAAACAAGATAATCATCACGGAAACTTAAATCAATCCCAAAGGCATGGTGGGAACCCACTAAACTGGATCATCTTTCCTTCCTACTTTCTACCTCCTTAACCCCCTCCCCACCCCATTCAGAATGAGAATGAAGTCCAAGACTTGCTAGTATCAGTCTCCCACTGCTGCCTTGCTGTATTTCCAGAGGCTTTCAGAAAAATCAAGAGAGTGTCTCCTGAACAAGCTAAGGACTCTCTGGGTTTGTGGAATGATTCCTTGGTCCAGCAACCAAAGAGAAGGAGGGGGCCAATAAGCCAAATCTTTAAAGAACGATGGTAAGAAGCAGCAGCTGTTTCTCCTAGGCAGTGGTCTGCAAACTCATTAGTCAACAGAGCCAAATATCAACAGTACAATTGAAATTTCTTTTGAAAGCCAAATTTTTAAACTTAAACTTCTAACGCCACTTCTTCAAAATAGACTTGCCCAGGCCGTGGTATTTTGTGGAAGAGCCACACTCAAGGGGCCAAAGAGCTGCATGTGGCTCGAGAGCTACAGTTTGCTGACCATGGTCCTAGGGGATCCCAATGCTCTTAAAATGTTTAACAAAATGTGAACCAATGAAATAAATGTATTGAGAAAACTATAAAAACAAAGGTTTACCTGCTTGTTTTTCAGGAAGCTCAATAGTGGGGTTGTCTTTTTAGCTACATAAATGTAAAGAGATTATTAATAATACTTATCAACCCCTAGAAAGGATTCCATTTTCTGACATTCCCTGCCAACCACCCAAGGTGGGAAAAACTATGCCCCTTAAACAAAGAGTTCATAACTATATTATTGGAAAGAAATTTTTACAGTATTCCAATTCTGCAAATTTAAAATACCCTTTAAAAATTAAAGTACAAAATAAAATAACTGTTCTACAGACAGGAGTACAAATTTGTCCAATTGGGCATATATATGCATCCATTAATAAAAACCAACTTTTAGAAGAATATGTAATTCATTTTTCAGTATTCTGAACAAAGCTATCTAATCTTGTAGCTAGCTTTTGAAAACATACTTCCTTTGGATAAATTCTTCAGAGTGGACATTCTGAGTCAGAGGCTATGCTTATGTTTAGTGTGATATAGTAGTGACAGCTTACTGATAGAACCAACATCCAAGCTAGAATTTCTCAAGAGATTTTTAGTTTTGTAGTAACTACATTTTTTATATTTCTTTTTATGAATATTAGCTTATTACTAGAAAAAATCAGCAGATTTACAAATGCTTACCAATATCTAAAGGTACCATGCATGAGTCTTCAAGCATTTTATACTTATGTTTCATTTGTGTGGCACTAAATAGGTCACAGACAGTTTTCCCCATCTAATCAGAGCAATTGCATAATCCTGTGACACAGGTATTGTCTTCTGCTTAGTGCAGTAAAAGTCTCAGAGAAGTTAGTGCTTTCCCCATGACCATACAGCTATCAAGTGACAGAAGTGGAAGTCAGACTGGTCTTCTGATGAAAAAGCTGTTGAGCTTAATTCCTTTTGTCCACTTACCTATTAGTTCTCTATTTTTAGCTTCTATTTCTTCCAACAGAGTCTCTGGAGTAGATGTCATTTTCTCATTATCAGCAGCATAACTTTCCAAAAATTTTCTGTATTCTGGATCTAAATAATTGTTTAAGGAAACAGAAAATATAGTAGAGTTTAAACAAGCAGGAAATTATTATACAGGATTTTATCAAAGAAGATTAATTTTCTACTTCATGGGAGATTGAAAATAAACCTATACTCACAAGACAAACTATTTACAGCTTTATTGGTTACTCTCAGAATTCCTATTAGAGATACCCACAAAGGGAGAATGGTGTAACTTGGGGTCAGGGAAAATGAGACAGCACAGATTATAATAGAAACCTCAGGGATGATAGTTTGCTTTTGAAAGTCACTGATCCTGCTAATCCAGAGTCATACTTGTGAAAGAAATTCTATGTGTATACAGTTACAGTATGTATTTATTATGCATATAGAATGTAATCAATTCCTGAATGGGTACACCTCACTTTAAATAAACTCAACATATGAAAATCAGATGTTCCAAAAAGACACAAAAGGGAGATGTCCTGGGTGGCACTGGAGGTGATGATAATTCCTGGAGTTCTTTCCTAGATGCCTCTGACATCAGATAGGGTAACACATCTGAGTTATTATACTTCTTGTATTTGGAGTTTCTATGCAGTGTGGACCGTATCACTTGATCTAGTCTTCCAGGTCTGAATCTATCATATAATCAATAAGCAGCTGCGTGTTGAGTCTTCTCTGTGTTCTTTATAAAATACCTATTATAGTAGTAAATAATGGCAATCAATCTAGATGGTTCTAAAATGTCAATCTGATAGAAAATATCGCAGCTAAGCCATTATCCAATATAAGTTATAGAGATGTCAAAATCTGGGTCCAGTTTACCTTATGTGGCAATTATTCCAGTTTTTTAGTTCCTCTCTGTTGGCTCAGTGTAATTACTATGTGTAGTTAACTTCATGTTCCAAGCTGAGAAAATAGGACTGACCACTTTGGTTACTTCATATTAAGTTACTTGAATAAAGTTTTCCTGTAGAGCTCTCAATAATAAAACTTCCTCTTGATAAAAATGAAAACCAAAAAAATAAGTAATCATAATAGTGGTAAAAAGCCTCAAGTAGTTGTTGTACTACTCAATAGTCAACAATGTATTATTCAATGGTGGAGGAATGGAATGCCACTAGCCAGAGAGTGAAAACTCTATAGGAAACCTACCTCCATTTTAATGATTAAGCAAAGCTTTCATCAATGAATTGTATTTCATATTAACTTTATCCCATATGTTCTTTTATTTAAAGCTTGGAGTACAGTTAATTCTCACAAAGGTAATATTTTTAAAAGCATATGGCATTAGCATTACAAAACTAGAGCCATACTGTACCATCATCGATAGTCCCAACTTTAGTATCTCTTTTCTTAGTCTTCTTTTTTGCAGCTTTTTGAAAAGGAGCAAATTCTACTATTGCAGGATATTCCTGACCTGTTCAGAAAAAAAATATCACAATTCTTATAACAAAGTGTCAAATGGCTAAAAGGCTTTTCTTCTTTTTTTGGAGAGAGGGGCTCTGTCTGTATTTTTTATTAAAATATTTTAATGTTGACATTATTGTAGGTTTCCCCCTATTTCCCCTTTGCCTAGGCTTCCTTTGATGGCAGTCATCTGAGAAGTGACTCCAAATGGGCATCAATCACACTGGCCCAACTAAAGTCAACTCTACCTAAGGAGCCCCTAAAGGAAAAAATGAAATGAATAACACATTCATTTAAATTCTACTTCTAACGTGTGATATTTTGATATGTGGGGTAAATAAAATGATTTTCATTTAAAAACACATCAGAAATCTCTAGAATAAGTAAATCTATAGAGAAAAATAACATTAGGGTTGCCTAGAGCAGGGGAGAGTGGTGGGGAGAACAGGGAGTATCAGCTAATAGGTATGGGCTTTCACGTTAGTGTTCCAAAATTAGATTACAGCGATAGCTGTACAACTTTGTGAATAAAAACATTTTTAAAAAGAAAATTGTTTTTTTTATTGATTTGAGAAACATCGATTTGTTGTTCCACTTATTTGTACATTCCTTGGTTGATCCTTTTAAAAAAATACGTTTTTATTGATTTCAGAGAGAGGATGGGAGGGATAAAGAAATAGAAACATCAGTGTGGAGTTTCCTCAGAAAACTGAGAATGGAACTCCCATTTGACCCAGTAATCCCACTGCTAGGAATATATCCCAAGAAACTAGAAACACCAATCAGAAAGGATATATGCACCCCTATGTTTATAGCAGCACAATCTACAATAGCCAGAATCTGGAAACAGCCTAGGTGCCCGTCAGCTGATGATTGGATCCAAAAACTATGGTACATCTACACAATGGAATACTATGCTGCCATAAAAAAGAAGGAATTCTCATCATTTGCAGCAACCTGGATGGAATTGGAGAACATCATGCTGAGTGAAATTAGCCAATCAATGAAAGAGAAACACCACATGACCCCACTCATTTGTGGATAATAAAGATCATTATAAACTGATGAACCAAAAGATAGATATAGAGACAGTAAAGCAACAAGCAGATTGTCAAATTACAGCGGGGAGGGGAGGAGGGTCTGGGGGAGATAATAAATCAACCCAAGGACTTGTATACATGCATATAAGTACAACCAATGGACATAAAACTCTGGGGAGGGAGGGGATAGGTAGGAGGGAAGGAGGGGGGCAAAAAAAAATCAATAAAATATGTAAAAATAAATAAAAAAAAATAAAACTTAAAGGAAACTGTAAAAAATATATAAATAAATAAATAAAGTAAAAAAAAAGAAAGAAATAGAAACATCAATGATGAGAAAATCATTGATCGGCTGCCTCCTGCATGCCCCCCTACTGGGGATCGAGCCCACAAGCTGAACATGTGCCCTGACAGGAAACTGAATGGGGACCTCCTAGTTCATAGGTCAATGCTCAACCACTGAGCCACACCAGCCAGGCATTGGTTGATTCTTCAGGGATCAAATCCAATACCTTGGCATATTGGGACAATGCTCTAACCAAATGGCACTAAAAACATTTTTTTTTAAATATTTATTTTTATTGATTTCAGAGAGGAAGGGAAAGGAAGAGAGATAGAAACACAAATGATGAGAGAGAATCATTGATAGGCTGCCTCCTGCATACCCCACATAGGGGATTGAGCCAGTAACCTGGGCATGTGCTGTGAACAGGAATCGAATCGTGACCTCCTGATTCATAGGTGGATACTCAACCACTGAACCACACTGGCCAGGCTAAAAAACATTTTTTTAAATTATTTTTTAAAATAATATACTTTATTGATTTTTTACAGAGAGGAAGGGAGAGAGATAGAGAGCTAGAAACGTCGATGAGAGAGAAACATCGACCAGCTGCCTCTTGCACACCCCCTACCTGGGATGTGCCCACAACCAAGGTACATGCCCTTGACCGGAATTGAACCCAGGACCTTTGAGTCCGCAGGCCGATGCTCTACCACTGAGCCAAACCGGTTTCAGCTAAAAAACATTTTTAAAGGGTGAATTTTTGTGGTATGTTATTTAAAAAATACACCAGGGCAACAAAAGAAAAAATCGGTAAGTTGGATATCAAAATTAACAACTGTGCATTTAAGAACATGGTCAACATAGTGGAAAAGCAACCTATAAAACAGACAGTATTTGCAAATCATTCATCTGATAAGGAGTCAATATACAGAACATACAAAGAACTCATACAACTCAACAACAAAAACCCCACAATCCACTAGCACATTTGGCTCAGTGGATAGAGCATCAGCCTGCTGACTCAAGGGTTCCGGGTTTGATTCCAGTCAGGGGCCCATGCCCGGGTTGCAGTCCTGATCCCCAGTAGGGGGCGTGCAGGAGAGAGCCAATCAATGATTCTCTCTCATCATTGATGTTTCTCCCTCTCCCTTCCTCTCTGAAATCAATAAAAAATATATTTAAAAAACAAAGCAAAAAACCCCCAATCCAATTTTTAAAAGTTCAAAGGCCTTGAACAGACATTTGTCCGAAGATGATATACAAAAGGCCAAAAAACATGAAAAGATGCTCATATGCGCAAGCATGTGAAAATGTTAAACTATTAACTCACTAATCATTAGGGAAATGCAAATCAAAACCACAATAAGCTATCACCTCACATCCATTAGAATGGTTACTATTGAAAGAAAAGAAACCCACAGAAAATAGTGTTGGTGAAGATGTGGAAACATTAGAATTCTTGTGCTTTACTGGTGGGAATGCAATTTCTATGAAAAACAATATTTTCCTCAATGTGAAAAATCAATAAAATATATATATTTTTTAAAAAGAATGCAAACAAAAATAAAGGAATGACCTAATGACACATGCTATAAGGATGAACCTTGAAAACATGCTAAGTAAAAGAAGCCAGTCACAAATCCTGGTGAATGCAGAATCAGATTAGCTTAATAACTGATATATGTGAAATGTCTAAAATAGGGAAAACCGCCAAAACCGGTTTGGCTCAGTGGTAGAGCGTCGGTCTGCGGACTAAAAGGTCCCGGGTTCGATTCCGGTCAGGGGCATATACCTTGGCTGCGGGCATATCCCCAGTAGGGGGTGTGCAAGAGGCAGCTGATCGATGACTCTCTCTCATCGATGTTTCTAACTCTCTCTATCCCTCTCTCTTCCTCTCTGTGAAAAATCAATAAAAAAAAATATATTAAAATATGGAAAACCATAGGTAGTTCCTCAAAAAAAATTTTTTTTAAATAGAATTACCATATGACCTAACAATTCCACTTTGGGTATATATTCAAAAGAAATTAAAAGCAGAGACTTGAACAAATTACTGTACACCCACATTCACAATAGCCAAGAGTTAACAGGGAAGCATCCATGTTATATATTTTTAAGACTGAATAATATTCCATTGTATGTATATTCCTACATTTTGTTTATCCATTCATCTTTCAAGGGACATTTGACGAATGGATAAAAAAAATGTTATACACATACACACACACACACACACACACACACACACACACACACACATACACACAAACACACTAGAGGCCCAGTGCACAAAATTCATGCACTTGATGGGATCCCTCAGCCCAGCCTGTGCCTTCTCGCAGTCCAGGAGCCCTCACCAGCCATGAGCCTGGCTTCTGGCCGAGTGGTGCTCCCTCTGTGGGAGCACACTGACCACCATATACGATGGAGATACACACACACACACACACACTGTATAAATACAATGGAATATTATTCAGCCTTAAAAAGGAAATTCTGACATATGCTACAACATGGATAAACCACAAGAAGTCAAATACTATATGATTCCACTTGTATGAGGTATCTAGAATGGTCAACTTCATATAGAATGGTATTTGCCAGGGATTGGGGGGTGAGGGACATGGGGAGTAGTTTTTTAATCAGTATAAAGTTTCAGTCTTGAAAAATGAAAAAGTTCTAAAGATTGGGTGCACAATGTGAATGTCAACACAACTGAACTGTACACTTAAAAAATGGTTAAGACTGGAAGGTTTTAAAATATCATTTATTTAAAAAAATATTTTCATTGATTTCAGAGAGGAAGGGAGAGAGAAATAGAAACATCAATGATGAGAAAGAATCATTGATCAGCTGCCTCCTGCTCTCCTCCTACTGGGGATCAAGCCCATAACCCAGGCATATACATTTGACCAGAATAGAATCTGGGACCCTTTGTTCCATAGGTTGACACTCTATCACTGAGCAAAACCAGCTAGGGCTACAAATTTTAGTATTATGTATTTTACCACAATTTTTAAGAATGCAAACAAGCCGGCACCGGTTTGGCTCAGTAGATAGAGCGTCGGCTTGCGGACTGAGGGGTCCCGGGTTCGATTCCGGTCAGGGGCATGTACCTTGGTTGCGGGCACATCCCCAGTAGGGGGTGTGCAAGAAGCAGCTGGTCGATGACTCTCTCTCATCGATGTTTCTAACTCTCTGTCCCTCTCTCTTCCTCTCTGTGAAAAATCAATAAAATATATATTTTTTTTAAAAAGAATGCAAACAAAAATAAAGGAATGACCTAATGACACATGCTATAAGGATGAACCTTGAAAACATGCTAAGTAAAAGAAGCCAGTCACAAATCCTGGTGAATGCAGAATCAGATTAGCTTAATAACTGATATATGTGAAATGTCTAAAATAGGGAAAACTATAGGTAAAATAGTGATTGCCAGGGGCGGGAGGGAAAAATGGAAGATGAATGCTAATGAGTATAGGATACTTTTTGGAGTGATAAAAACATCCTGTATTTACACAGAGGTGATGATTGCACAACTTTGTGAATATACTGAAACAATGAATTTTATGGTATGTGAGTTATAGCTCAATTAAAAAAACAACAACAACAACAAGTGTTGCCCTAGCCAGTTTGGCTCTGTGAACTGAAGGGTCCGAGTTCAATTCCAGTCACGGGCACATGCCCAGGTTTCAGGCTTGATCCCCAGTAGGGGGAACGTGTAGGAGGCAGCTGATCAATGATTCTCATCATTGATGTTCCTATCTCTCCCTTTTCCTTCCTTCCTCTCTGAAATCAATAAAAATATATTAAAAAACAATTTTCCTGGCAGGTGTGGCTTAGTTGGTTGAGTGTGGTCCTAAGCAACAAAAGGTCACTGGTCAGGGTGCATACAGGAGGCAACTGATTTTCTTTCTCTCCCTCTACCTTCCTCTGTATAAAATAAATAAAACATTTTTTTAAAGTAACTACAGAAAAAAAAATATAACAGGGCCCTGCTATAGAATAATGTCAATGTCACACAAGGTATAAAGATCATTCACATGTAGACATAAACCAGAATAAAATAACTAGAATTGACCAGAAGGTATCACAAAGCAGTCATGGAAGAAACATGATTTTGGAAATCTTGGTGAATGCAGAATCAGATTAGCTTAATAACTGACACATATGAAAAGGAATAGATAAACCAGACTGAAGCAGAAGGAAATTGTGAAAGATAGGCTGAAAAAACAACAACACAAAACAAACAGAAGTGAATCCACACTATGAAGGGCCTTAACTATGAGACTAAAGAGTTAGCTTTTTCACAGTTGTTCTTAAATCATTATTTTCAGAAATATTAATTTCATGGCAATATCACAGACTGAATTATACAGAAATATAATTCAGAAAATCCTACAAGTTTAGACAGTGGTTGTCTAAGCATTAGATGACAACGACATAAAGTATGAAAGCATTAGTAAGAATAGATGGACAAGATGTTAAAAAACAAATTCAAAAGATTCATCACTTGATGTTCCTCTCTAAAATCAATCAATAAATAAAAATTATAAAAGTTTCATCACTTGTTTATATATAAGGTGTAAAAAAGAGGAAAAGATTAAATACAACTCAGATTCCCAGGACAAGACACTAGGAAATCATTCCTATTTACTGGAATAAAGTTGAAGTAGAGAAGTAGCTAGTTTGTGGGGATTAATAAAATTGGACAGTGGCATTATTCCAACAAGTAATTATTGGCAGGAGAAGATTTGACTTTGGGTAGTGGGCACACAGTGCAATATACCACATCTGATCTTGTACCACCTGAAACCTATGTGATCATATTAACCAATGTCACTGCAATAAATTTAATAAAAAAGGAAAACAAACCCAAAACCCCCCACAAGTAACTATTGGCTTAAAGGCTTTGGGTAAATGTTGGTCCTTGAAGCAAGATGAGAAGTAAATGTTTAAAACTTGTCATACAAGTTTAAGAGTCACTTATCCATATTACTGCTGAAACTGGTAAATAATCAAAACAACAGATATTCTAATTTCAGGGCAAAAAAAATTGTCACAGGAGGAGAAAATAGGCAATTTCATCCAGTTATTTAAAGTATGAAATAACAGGTTAATAAAAACACCTGAGGGGTAAGAAAAGTCACATATCTATATTTATAATAGCCTTATCAAATGTGTGAAACTCTTTAAATGTTGCACATTTTATCAATCAGGATTTTAGAAAAACTATCAAGGCATTGAGAAAATACGGTGACACACACATTGTCTTAGACAAATGACAAAGGAACCTCTTGTTACCAGGACTCACCTTTATTATCAAGGAATACATAACCATCAAAGCGATCCCTGAACAAAATAATGTCCTCTTGGTTCTTAAAGTTGATGTATGCTCTGGCATACATATGAGGATACAGACTGCAGAGAGGAAAGCAATTATGTAAATGTGCTTGCAGGTATCTGGCTGAACTATAAGAATGCATATATTAAAGAGACAGGCTCAAAAATCACATAGACAACATTAGTACAATAAAATGGAATGGAAGAAACCTTTTTCATTTACCCCCTCCCTCTAAGATTTATTTTACCTAGTATCATTAGAAAAAAATTCAAAATAATCATGCTCGGGCATAGGCTGCAGATGTTCCTGAAGCTGCTCCTTGGTCAAAGTGGGAGGTAATCTCCGAATTACCACCTTCAGAAATGAATAAGTAAAATAAAATTAGTACAAATCAATTTTCTGTCATATCTATAAGAATCACTATCCCAGAAGCTTGGAAAGAGACCACTTATAAAAATCCAGGAGAAAATAGTCCTCCAATGCTCAGAATCAAACATAATAGCAAAGCGGTTTAAAATTTTTTCTTATAAATGAGAAATGTCTGGATCAAGGAAAATATCAGCTTCGGTTAATCCGAAGCCCCGCAGTTTACTAGGTTCTCGTATTATTTTCCATCACCCATTTTTCAATAGATGCAGTGGTAAGAAATGCGTAGACCAATCCTGGTCTTTTGTGGGTGCCACAAACACTTGATTTACCAATATTTCCCTGACACATCCTAAAACAAAACCCTTTCTCATTCAGCATTAAGAATTCAAAACTGAGGAATACCGAAAATTCCCTCATCCCAAACAGGATGAACCCGATGTGGCCCCCAGACCGTTAATCCCAATACTCCCTCAACTCACCTCCATTAATACATATTCCATCACAAACTACGCCCACCTTTGATAACCCCTTCACTATTTAATAATCCCCTCAATTGACGTTTAAATTCCTCATTTTCTTTATTATCACACCCTTCCCATTATCATTTCACAGCTCTGATCTAAAACCTCGTCTAGGAATTCCCCCCTATCCCCGTCCCCGTCCCCTTCACTCCCACCCCGGGGTTTGGCCGAGAGCCGCCCCCCCCTCCCTTTCGGTCCAATGGATGAGACAGGGTGATGCGATTTTCACTCAGGTGAGGAAACAGAAAGGCAGACTGGGAGAAGAAGGCAGCCCCATTCCCAACCATCCTCCACGGGTGGCAGACGCGTCCCGCCCTCTCACGGGCCAACGGCCAGCCAGGCACCTTGCTCAGCGCCTCTTTCTTCTCCTTGTTCCGATCCTGCTTATCTTCCCCTTTGGTGCTGTCCCCGGAAGCCCCACTACTACTGCCTGTGGCCCCCGGGGGAGTCAAGAGGGTTACTCGCTTCTCCTTAGGCCTATAATCCTTCTCTTCCTTCATGGCTACGGCTGGGCTCCTCACAGTCGAAGCTCGGGGCCCGACTACCGGCACCTACGACTCCCGTTCCACTGCCGTCACAGCTCCGCCCACTCGCGTCACAGTCCCGCCCCCAACAAGCTCCCCTAGCGAGGAGGCAGCTCCGCCGTTCCATTGGGCCTCCTCAGGATCTCGCGAGACTTCAAGGCGTTTCGATTCTTCCGGTGAATAGGTTTTAACACCTAGTCTAACGTTCCCGCCCGCCAAATCACCGTGTCACCCAACACCCTCTAGGTCCAGACTCCCCAGGGCATCTCTCCACAGCTTTTAGCAAATCGCCATCTTGACTACAAAGACTCTTCCGAGGACTACAAATCCCAGCATGCAAAGCAGTTCCACGCTTCTGGTTGGGAGTTCTAGCCCTATTTTTAAAAGTAATCCTCTAATTTTTTTGTTTCTGTTTTTAATATATCTTTACTGATTTTAGAGAGGAAGAAAGAGAGAAATAGGAACATCAGTGATGAGAATTGCTTCAGGCACACCCCAAACTGGGGATCGAGCCCCCAATCCATCCTTGTGCCCTGACAGGGAATCCAACCGTGAGCTACTGGTTCATACGTTGGAGCTCAACCATTGAGCACACCGGCTGGGCGATACTCTAGTTTTGAAAGTTTAGTGTTTTGCAGATCAAAACATAAGTTCTGTGGGCTGTACTTGACTACCTGTTCCTCAGATAAAACTGATGTTATCCAGAGTTTACCTTACCGGGGAACTTGTATTTTCTATTGATTCTGAGGAGAAATAGAGGTTGCCACCCAAAAGGCATCTTGTGATGTTGATTATTTTAAGCTGGTTATTAAGAAAAGAGGAAGATGCTCTAGCTGGTTTTTCTCTGGATAGAGCATCGGCCTGCAGACTGAAGGGTCCCTGGGCTTGATTCTGGTCAATGGCACTTAGGTTGCCAGCTCCATGCCCAGTAGGGCGCATGCAGCAGGCAGCCAATAAATGATTGTCTTTCATTATTGATGTTTCTCTCTCCCTCTCCCTTCCTCTCTGAACTCAATAAAATGTGTATTTTAAAAAAGAGGAAGAACCTTTCACCACACCCCTAATTGCCTAAAAGAATTTAGAAAGCTGACTTGCTTCAAGTATAAGGTGACCAGACATCCCGCTTTTGGAGGGACCGGCCCGATTTTTAACAATTTGTCCCGCAGCCCGGGGCGTTTTAAAAAAAGTCCCTATTTTTTTCCCCGGGACGCGGGACAAATTGTTAAAAATCGGGACTGTCTCGCCAAAAGCGGAACGTCTGCTCACCTTATCCAAGTAGGGAGTTATCATCATAGTTATTATGAACTAGTGTGAGACAGGGGGGAACCTAGCAAATTCCTCTCCGTGTTCCATTGTTAAAGATAGCCAAGCAAACAGTTATTTAGCAAACATTAAGCATCTTGTCCAGCTTGCTGATTTGTGATACAACAAGAAAAGCAACTTTATTCTCTGGCAGAGGAAATGACATGTTATCTGGAATCTGCATTCTCTTGTTGGCATTCACATCTTTAAATTTTTCTTCTTCTTTTGACTGACAGATCCTGCCTCAAGTTTATTTGTGTTGTTGTATTGTCAATCAGCGAGCTAGACAAGATGCCTTAATGAGCCAATTAGTTAGAAATCATCTTTATTTCGAGCAGGTTCAGAGCAGAATACCTCTGTCAAATTCTGAACAAACACAGGAAAGAGTATTCCATTTTTATATCCTTCTCGGTCTTTGTGTAAGTTATTTTTGCAGACAACTTGTAACCCTGAGTACATATCCTATCTATACAGACACCTGTAACCTTGGATACATAATTAACAAACACTTGGCATGAGAATATGGGAATTATTATCAGTATCATCATATCAGCCCCTTTAGGTGGCTAGCTTGCAAAGTCAGACAGTTAAGTTTATCTTTCCTATTATTCAAGCTAAAAAACAAAGTTATTTTTACAGAATAAGAGACTGTCTAAAAATAACAGAGTTGACTTATGGAACAAGGGGCAGTTTTTCCAAAGGAGGGATCATTACTATGCTTCAGTGATGATAGCAGAGGAGGACACTAACTCCATGCAGACAGCAGCCCAAGGGTCACACCAGTCCTTCCATCCTCACATTGGTAGATAGAGGAGCTTTCCTGGGGGCACCTTTGGGAGCCTGAGGGCTTGTTTTGAGTCTTGGCCTTGGACTTTGGCTGGCAGAGCTTGAAATCTCATTTCAGGCCGAAGCCGGTTTGGCTCAGTGGTAGAGCGTGGGCCTGCGGACTGAAAGGTTCCGGGTTCGATTCCGGTCAGGGACATGTACCTTGGTTGCAGGTGCATCCCCTGTGGGGAGTGTGCAAGAGGCAGCTAGTCGATGTCTCTCTCTCATCGACGTTTCCGGCTCTCTAACCCTCTCTCTTCCTCTCTGTAAAAAATCAATAAAATATATTAAAAAAAGACAGAGAAAAAGAAAAGAAATCCCATTTCAGGTCTTTAAATACCTCTCAACATGGACACCTGCTGCCCTGACCTCCGCTCAGGTTCCATACTGATTCATCCAGTCGCCTCTTTGACAGCTTTTAGAGATCTAATGGGCCTCTCAAACATAGCCTGTTCAAACTGAAATCCTCCTGAGCTTCCTACCAGTGTCCTTTGCACCTCTATCCTTCCAGTTTGGGTGAAAACCCTTACATTGTTCTAACACCTCACTTTCCATAACATGAGATCTCAGCAAACACTTCCCATCTCATTTACAATGAGTTCTATCCCCCATCCCCTTTTTGTGGCCCACATGGCCCTACATGATTGGGTCTTTATCTCACCAACTCCATCACCTACCAACTTCATCCCCCACCATCCTCCTTCATGCTGCTCCACTATTCCCCAGTCCCACCTGCTTGTTCCTTTTTTTTCCCCCAAGGAAGAAACAGCTTTATTAGGAGACTACGCATGTCTGGGAAAACCCAATCCATTCACAGAGAAAAGAGGTTAACATTGTACAGGGCAGGCATCTAGCATTACAGAACATTCTTTTAAAAACTAAGTATGATACTAAAGTCTCCATCTCAGTATCCTAATAGTCAGAAATGCTGCTGAGGTCAGCCCTACTGGAACTTCTGGAGGCTCCTAGTGAAAGAGCGAGCTCTGTGCATACGGGAGAGCTCAGTACTGCCGAAGCTAAGCTCCACACAGGTGGGCAGTCTGGGGCAAGAGAGTTAGAGGGAAAGGCAATGGGGATATTCTCGTCACCCACACAAGGTCATCTCAGTCTGCAAGTGATAGAGGAACCACAGGTCCTTGAACAGAGGCTAGACTGGGGCAGCAGTGGGACTCTGGCTGAAGACACAACGTCTGGGCCATCTGTCATGACTCGGAGTGCTCCGTGCATTCTGGACTGAGGGCACCTCTAGCAGGTCCTGCAAACCTGGCTCCCTTCTGGAGGAGCCTGGGAGAGAGCCATTTGGGTTCTGTTCTGACTCCATTCACAGAAGAACTGGCCATGCCCAGCACCAAGTCCAGGGTCATAATCACTGAAAGGAACTGAGTGGTCACTATGATATTTACACCTCTTAGTCTAGGAACGTGGTCGGCAAACTGCGGCTCTCCATCCACATGGGGCTCTTTGGCCCCTTGAGTGTGGCTTTTCCACAAAAATACCACGGCCTGTGCGAGTCCATTTTGAAGTAGCGTTAGAAGAAGTTTAAGTTTAAAAAATTTGGTTCTCAAAAGAATTTTCAATCGTTGTACTGTTGATATTTGGCTCTGTTGACTAATGAGTTTGCCGATCACTGGTCTAGGAGACTTCTTTAGCAGAATAGTCACTTTTCTCAGACCAAGAGAGATCTTGCCACAAATGAGCCCAGTCTAGAAATGACTCCACTTTCACATGAGCACCAGGTGGAGAGAATCTTTCCCACGAGTTGAAGCTTTAGATCTTGGCCCTCAGATGCTGGCCCTTGGACAGAAGATCAGTGCTCAGGCATCAGTTTCTGTCCCAAGAGTAGCAGGTGTCACCTGTTGATAACACGCCCAAGCGATGTTCTGCTGTAATTTTCCCAAAGGAGAGCACGCACTCTGTCAGCCTCGGACTGAAGAGTCCTGGGTTCGATTCCAGTCAAGGACATATACTTTGGTTGCAGGCCAGATTCCCAGCCCTGGTTGGACGAGTGCAGGAGGCAACCAATCAATGTGTGTCTCTCACATCAATGTTTCTCTCTCTGTCTCTCCCCCTCCTTCCATTCTCTCTAAAAATCAATGAAAAATATCCTCAGGTGAGGATGAACAAAATAAAGCAACAACAACAAAAAAAGAGAGCACACTCTTTTCAAAGGCAAGAAAGGAAGAAATGAGGCAGGTCTCAGGGTATTTGATGCCACTTAATTCTTCCACTGAATTTGCATGCTACTGAGAATGGCATTGATCTTCTTCTCTGCAGATCCTTTGTCCACCTTACTCCTGTATGCTAGCAACTGCTGACAGTCCTTCAGGTCCCGGCAAGTATCAATGACGACATCGTGGCACTTGAACTTGGTAGCTAAGTTCAACTTTGTGTCCACATCTTCCAGTAGATTGACATATTCCTGTAATATCTGGAAGAAGGCACTGTTTTTGTGCAGAATTTCCACAATCCAATGAAAGCCAATGGTGTAGCCCAGTCAGTTCTTTGTGGTAAAGAGAACATCTATATCATGTCAGGCACTGAGCTTGGTGCAGGCGGCCAAGGCAGTCAGCACATACTGTTTATCTGGGATCTTAAATGATTTCTTTAGGTTGACTGAACTGCTGAATGTCCCCTCGGGCTCTGTGTAGAGATAGAAGCAGGAGTAGAAGAGTGTTATCACTAGTGGCATATTGAGGATGGAAGCTTTGTGGGGGTGCTTCCGGAAGATCTCAGTCTGTCCTGCTGATTCTAGATGGCGGTCATTTGCCTCAATAATGATCTGATGTTCCAGGAGCATGTAATGGTCTTGTATGTGTGCAGAATCTTCCACTAAAAATGGCAAGCCGGCC